TTGATGGTTTGTTGAATGGAATGTCTGAACAACATCTTTCTAATTATGTAGCGGAACTAGAGAGGGCTCGGGTTATCTTGTGCCCGACCGCGAGCCTTAATACAGAAAAAAGTTCCAAGTTGTCCTGCGAACATTTAAAAGTCACCAAATATTTAATTGGATTTTGCTCTAGTGTACACAAATCATTAACAAGTAACGATAAACTATTTATGTTCATTAAAACCCTAATAAAAACGTTTTTCTGGGATGATTTAAACCTTTACCATTTATTGTTAACGATTTTAAAAACATTCCAGTATCATTAAATATTGGTTCCCAATAACGTTTGTTTTTAACGATAATGGAGACTTTGAACCCTTTCCAAATGGTGACTTTGAATTCATGAGATCAAAAAGTCTATCTATCATGTGCAAAAACTCTGTAGTCGCTTCGCTGTTTAGAAAGTCAGGATGACCACTAATCCTCAAAAAAATTATTGCATCAGCAACAGATGAACTAAGGGTACGACTTTCCATTGACATCCACCGAATTGTGGGGGAGGGGGGGAGGTTTAATACCCCCCCCCTTAAAAGGAAAAGTTGCGGAGCCCCCCCCCCCTTTTCGAGTTTTTTCATTTTTAATTCTGAGAAAATTTTCCTCATTTTATGGATTAATATTAAGTGTAAAAAACCAGGAGGACACCTTGGGGGAGGGGGGTACCCCCCTACGGAAGGGGGAACCCCTTTCATCAGAATAAAAATAGGGGGACTGATTGACAGGGATTTCTGTGTCTATTTTGAGACTGCAATGTCTACGGCTCTTATAATAACACTCTAGGGGTAGGACAGACTCTTACCAAGTGGAGTCGAGGTCAATCAATTTGGTTCTTCGACATAAGTTAAACCTAACCTATTTTATTTATATACTTTTAAAATAAAAGAAATCAAATAAAATTCATAATTTATTAATCAATTTTATATACATATTGTATTGCTTTAATTAATTCTTCGAAAACATCTTTATGCGCTATTTTTATTTTTCTTCGCCAAGAATATTCAATTAGCCAGTCTGTAAAGTTTGCTTTATAACTTTCTCTACCAAACATCACTTTTAAATTTCGCCAGTGGCTTTCTATTCGTTGTGTGTGTGTCCCATCTGGTGCCACAAATTTATTTATAGGGTCGCTGTGATTAACTTTCTTATGTATATATCCATATTGAGGTAGGCAATCGTAGGCTCTCCAAAAATCGGTATAGATTTCAGTGCCTACCTCCACATGCTTTTGTATTAGTGGCACCAACATTTCCACAGATCTATCATTATCGGGACACACTTCTAATCTCAAATCATCTTTCCCATTTTCTATCATGCCCAGCACCCAATGGCCTTCAATGTGTCTCCCTCTGTTGTACTTTCGTTTTCCAAATTTTGATTCGTCTATTTGCACGATTTTGCCTGGACCACCAATCTTGCCGTTAACTTCTTCATGCTGCAATTCATAAACAATTACTGTCTCTCGGCAGTAAGAAAACTAGTCAGTTATTGTCCTTGTTGATGAAATTGTTTCTTTATCTTCACGGGCTGTTTCTATTTTAACTTGATGATAACTATATTTTTGGCTGAACATATACATCAGTAAAAATTGTAACTCGATAAACAGCCGCGCATTCTCGAACCATGTTCCCGCTGCCCGACTGACTGCCTTAGAGCGACAGTTACTCTTCCTGCATCGAAATATATCAAGCTGACCAGTCTTACTGCTGGAGCTTAACGCCATAGGTCTCCTATGATATGAGCACATTTTTTCTGTAGGAAGGAGCCTATGCTCTTCAGCAAATGCAATGCACTGAGCTGGGGTGTTGAGCCGGGTTATGATTTTATACATATTCCAGTGGCACCTAAAACAAGTAAAAATGTTCCTATTAGAAATCTAATTACTGCTTTACTCGTCAGCTTTTTCTGTGAAGTTTACATATGTGCTATATAAGAAACCACGGGTAAGGTTTACAATTCGGTCGCCTGAATTAGGGGGTGGGTGTGGTGTGGGGGGAGGGGGGAAGAGTTGTAGTCACTCCAGTCGACGGAACCCCGCGAAGCGCCGCTTCGCGGGGCTTCGCGGTTCTGCTTCTGAGTGGTTTACAAAAAAAACAACCACGAAGGGGATGACGGGGTCTATTCGCTCGCTCACTCGACCCCGTCATCTCCTTCTAACCTAACCTGTCCAAGTCGGGGTGCCCCACGTCCTAGGCTCGCTTCGCTCGCTATTGCACCCAATATAACACCAAAATATTAACTTTTATAACTACTTTAATTTATAAATATAATTTATGGCTGCCACTATTTGTAAGAAAGGATCTTTGCGATATTTAGCAGTATTCCGCCGCCACAAATATTCCACTATTCACCAAAATTATGAAACTCTGAAGCAACGGCATAACGAAAAGCTGTCAACAAAATGGCCGGCCTAGCGATTAATTTACACATTTTTAAATCGATTCAAATCGAAATTGGATGAATTGATTCACAAATTTTGCAGATTTTGCAAAATCGATCTTTTTTTGATTTGCGTTAAAAGTTTATATTTACAATATCAAAAGATACAACAAAGTACAGAATAACTTTGAATGGTTGAATTAAAAACTGTCATTCTTTACGAGTTAGGGTACATTCAACTAATTTTAAATCATTTTACAAATCTTACTAAAACAGAAAAAGATTCGATCTCGATTCTCTAGGGTGAAATATCGATTCTCTAGATCGTTTCTATATATCGATATTACATTGACAGATGAAACGTCAAAAACGTAATTAATTAGTCATTTACCAATATTTTTAAAAAATATTAAAAAATACTTCGACGCTGCTCCGGCACCAAAAATCGCGTGAGAGTGCTTCAGATAAACACCCTTGACCCCCCCACAGTGACAGAATCTTCAAATTCAGGCGACCGAATTGTAAACCCAACCCGAAACCACAGTGAACCAACCTTATTTCCTCGGCATAGTAGTGGACTCTTCGGCCAGACGAACCAGGAGCTCGAGGTTCCGCATCAGCCACGCTGCTCTCAGACGACGTTGGAGACGCAGGCGGCAGTACCGACACGGTACTGGGAACAGTGGCGCGGGAACTACCAGCTATTGGTTTCGATAGCACAGTCATGGGCACAAGTGGCTCACTAGAGTCCAACACTTGCACACACGGGGGGCCTGCAGAAGGGCTCGCGACAAGTGGCTCATCAGAGTCCAACACTTTTACTACACTCAATTCTACAGACGGTACTTCACAACACGGGGGGCCTGCAGAAGGGCTCGCGACTAGTGGCTCATTAGAGTCTAACACTTGCACTACACTGAATTCTTCAGACGGCACAGCAGAACACTAAACTTGGGGCTTCGGAGACGCCATGGTGGTAGTCAAACGTTGTTTTCAATGAGAGGAGTACGTAAACGATCTCAACTGCTAGGGACACAAACAATGACTGAGGATGACACTGACAACACAAAATAGCGTCAGTTTTACGTTTCGTTCCACAAGCCGGGAAAAGACCGTAAACACTGCACATTTTAATTTTAATAGCTCGTAATGAAAATAATTCTGTTATTTAAATATAAACTGTTAAATATATACGCATGCATGAAAACTATTAAAATCTTAGAGCATACATTACATGGAGGGAGCACTGTGTGAGCAGAAAGCGTGATCGGTGCTCTAAGGTTTAGGTAGAGTCTGTCTCTCTCGCACATGCTTCTGATTGGCTGGCGTGTTTTCCACCGTTGCATAGTGCGAGCGCATGCCCAATGAAACAGCCAATGACAGTGACTGTGCGAGAGAGACAGACTCTACCTAAACTCAGTCTCTCTCTCTCTACGCCGATCACGCTTTCTGCTCACACAGTGCTCCCTCCATGTAATGTATGCTCTAAGATTAAAATGGATACAAAATATAATTATTTACGTAAATTTATATAAAATGAAATGTTACCCAACATATGACAAGTTAACTGTACTTAAAACGGAACATTGAATAGCGTGATATATCTGTAATACGATATAATCTATGGTAGGAATTGACATAAATATTGCAAAAATTATTGATTTTCGATAATTTTTTTCTCAAAAACTACGCGTTTCCGCACGTTGCGTGTGTGCTTATATTAATGTCATCCTTCTGTAAAAAAAATATCAACCCCCAACTCGACGGACGTCAATGGAAAGCTTAGCCCCGGTATTTGACTTCATTTCAAAATCGGCCAAAACATTTCTAGCGAGTTTTAACATATGTGCAGCGTCAAGCAGACAATATATATTGCTCTTCCCGTTTGGATGTCGAAAGTACGGTCTTAAAATATTTTGTTCGAGAGAGCAGCCTAAATATTCATAAGCCTTTACATTGGATGATGCACCATCACAAGTCAAAGATCTTACGGTGACACCAATTTCGTCAAGCAGAATTATAGTGGTTTTTATTAATTCGGAAAGCAGTTCTCCAGACAAGTTATTTGCAATAAAAAAATATGCAATTGGACACTTAAAACGTACACCGTAAGACACTATTTGAAACACGAGGGCTTCGGAAGCTAATTTTTCTGGATCACTTACAGGAATTGGTCCTAAATCTACATACCCAACCACTTTGTCTAATTTTTGATCATATGCCAAATTTTGTTTTAATGCCATTCCATCAAATATTAAAGCAACATTTTTTAAACATATTTTTTCAGGTGTTTTAACTTGTTCTTTTAAATATTCCAGTACTTCAGAGAGGAAACCAACATAACAGTTAAATAAAGATAAAGATCTTCGTAGTTTCTACATGAGGTAAAGTTATATATTTTCTTAAGAACTCGTAAGCCTTAGGTGAATAGAAATTCAAAGTTAAAGCAAAAGCTTTCACTTCTTCACTATATGGAACACCATGTGGATTACTCTGTGGCTTTTTGAAATCCTTACAGACATCAGAAAAGCGCCCTTGAATAATATTTTCAATTTATGAGTGACCCCTATACTTTTTAATAGTTGCAATTAAAGAAGACATATCCTGAATTTTTTTAGTTTGGCGCGCCACTTTTTGCTTAAGAATCTTAGTTTTCTTCTCAAGTATTTCTTCTTTACTAATTTTATTTTCACTTGTACGCCCCTATCTATCTTCGCGGGATCGTCGTCTTCACTGCTGACCTAAGAAAATAAGAAAACGCATTACTATTTAGCATCGTATTTCTCCGCTCATAAGGCTCGTAGCGTGATGTTAGATAATCTTCCTGATGAATTGGTTTTAAAAAAGCAAAAAAATATTTTCAAATCTAACTGGTATAGTTCCGGAGATTAGAGAACTCAAATAAACAAAAAAGAATCAAATAACTCTTCTACATCATAATGTCAGTACAAATTTACATCACGTAATAGGTTATTAGACCATTAGTAGACAGATATACTCCGGATACTCCGGAGCGCGCCTTCATGAGCACGCGTAAATGAAGCATCAAACAAGAAGCTTCATGCTTAGTGTCGTAGTGACGGTTACCATACTGCGATTGGCACTAAAGCTATGACTTTAAATATGTATGTGTTTTAAGGTATATAATATATTATGTAATGTAATATTAAAGTCATAATAAATACAAATAAAAGGTATGTATTTAGTAATAAAGGAAAAGGAAACTTACAGGTAACTTGTTAAGATTGCATAAATTTTTAAGAATTTTTCGACATTGTTTTTTACTAGTTTGGTCTTCAATATTACAGGCAGTACGTTTCACTCCTGTTTCCTTAAGTGCAGAACTACTTTCATAAATGTCAGAACTAGTGCTTGGTACAGCCAGAGCAGCTATTTGCACAATAGACTCTTCATGTAATATACTAACATATTTTACAAAATATTGCTTTATATCATACATTTAAACTACTACATTTCTAAATATATAATATATTACGAAAAATCAGATAATTAAATTATATTACATTTTTACCTTGCCTGGTGATACAGTTTCTTGATTTATTATAACTGTAGGAACTGCTGTTGGTTTTAAGCGCCTTGTTGTTGAATCATAATCTGATTCTTGAAAATGCAAATTGCAAATCCTTGCACTTTCGTAATACTTCATTTTCAATGATACAATGGATAACCACAAATTTCTCCGAGTACTGTTTTTAGGAAATCTAAAAAAATATTCGTAATTATTGTAAACGTTACTAAAGTATCAGAATAATAAGAAACAAAAACTAAATAAAAACTAAATTGTCTGTCTAAAAAAACTAAATAAAAAGAATATATTATTATGTTACTAATTAATATTTTAATATTATGAAATCTATGAAATCCATCATTATATAGAATACATGGGAATTGTATGTAATTCCTAAATTTCATGCATTTCCGGTAACATAATAAGAAACATGTACATATAATTAATTAAGGACACGGAAAGTCTCAGATACATCCTTAATATGGTCACACTACTTCAGTGCGATCAATTCAAAGCGTTCCCACTGTACATAAGGCCACAGCCATATGCCTAGCTAACGTCAGTTCAGTGTTCAATGTGCGCCGACAGAGTTAAGCCGCGACAAAAAATGGATAAATTCGTAGTGAAAGAATGCTACTCAAGGTCACAAAAACGTAATAAACCAAGCGGAATCACTTTCAACACATAATTTTTAGTTTTGTGCCAAACTGAGTGTCAAATAACTTGGTAAACAATATTTTTCTAAATCTATACTGCGCTATTACAAGGTTATGTCAGCGGTTTATATTTGTAGTGCTGTGCTAACAATAACAGGCAATAACAGTATCGTAATCTGTTCTTATACAGTTATACTCGATAAAATAATACGTTTTGTTTTTCTTTTTAAGAATTTGAAAATAATGGACTATAAGATAACTTTTATTAAATATAAAAATAAAACTACGACCAAACCGAACTCGCGAAAGAAAGTAGTATTTTTATATTTAGGTTGAAAATGGTAACCCCAAATGGCGTTATGGGCCGCCATTTTGTGACGCTAAAACAGTCGTCTGTTGTCGTTTCGTGCGCATAGACCACGTTCTTCAAGTGTTTTCGATCTGTTTTTATTTGATTACCCGGCTTTCGTTTAATGGACGGTTTCTGCTTTTCAAACTGACATCGGCGCTAAATCGGACTTCGATTGTGTTTTGTATTGCGTTCTTTTTACTTTTGGTGCATAATAATGCCTAAACGTGGACAAACATTGAAAAGTGGAGCCCGTGAGTTAATCATCAAGCCGCAAGATTACTTTGAGCGGGAGCGGCAAAATGGCGGACCCCTGTTACCTGTCGAACAAGTACAAGAACGCGTCTCTCAGGCGCTTGGAGTTAGCAAACGAACGATAACAAATATTAATAAAGAAAAGTTCGGCTCTACTGGCACGGAAGATAATATTTTACGTACTCCGAAGAAGAAACGTAGAACTAAACCCGTGACAGATATTGACACCTTTGACGCCGATGCAATCAGAAATAATATATATGGTTACTATTCCAGAAATGAATATCTCAACAGGAAGAAGCTTTTGGCATCGTTAAGAGAAACTGGACTGTTTAGCGGGTGTAAAACTGCTTTAACCAAAATCTTAAAAGATATTGGTTTTTCGTTTCGTAGCTAATAAAAAAGAAGAAATGGTGGCTTGGTTACAAGCAAACAAAAGCACACAAGCACAAGGCATTGACGCAAATATGCAGATACTAAAACCAGAGCTAATTAACCATTTCACTGTCCCATGAGTCATATATGAACATTTTGATTGTTTAACTATTGTGTTTATTTCGCGGACAGGGAAGTTGTTAAATTAGTTAAAGAAAATAAAGCGGCAAATGTGCGATACGAAATCGATGAACTGGCTCTGGAGTACGGTCATCGCGTTCTAAGAATTTCACCGTATCATTGCCAATATAACGCGATTGAGCTAATCTGGGCTCAAATAAAAGGTAACGCCGCTCGCCACAATACTTCCCCGCCATTCAGCACGAAAAAATGATGACCCTATTAAAAGAAACCTGCGGGGAAGTCACAAGAGATGACTTGAGGCTTTAGGGCAAAGGTTGTTGAGGAGACTAAAAACCTGATTGTGGAACATTTTGACCAAGATATCAGGATTGATTCTGTTATTGATAATAATATAATTATACATGTAGGCGAAGATGATGATAAAGACACCACCTCCTCAAGCGAATCGGAGTCTGATTAATATTCTGTACGCACATTCAATTCAATGTACTTTATTGCATAGAAATACAGATTGTAACTTTGTAACAAAGAATACATAAAACAATTTTATTATACTAATATTACCTTTTTTTGGTTTCCAATAAAATTACTAAAATATAAATTTTAAATGATTCCGTCAATTTAAAACGAAAATAATCTTAAAAATAACGCGGCGGTTCATTTTGGAGGAACGGTAACGAACTCAGTGTTATGTTGTGCTCATCACTAGTCGTGACTAACTGATAGGTGTCAGGAACGCATTCTCTGAACGGCAGAACTATATAACTCAATGAGTGCGATTTCTTTTAAACAAAAACAATAAAATTGTTCAAAGTCAATTAAAATCAATGTAAAACTATTTGATTTTGATAAAGTTATGATTTACTAATATGTTTAAAACACTGGTAAAACATTTCAGCAAAAAATTAAGTGAAAATACAAAGAAGTATGTTTACAAGTATTCAATGCCAGAAGTCACTATTTAAATAATAATAATATCGTCAATAATTATCGCCCAATAACATTGATATCTATTATGTCCAAAATTTATGAAAAGTGCATGTACAAAAGAATAATCGAATTCTGCAACAAATTTAATATTATAATTAACGAACAATACGGATTTCAAAAAGACAAATCTACTACGTTGGCCGTTTTTTCTCTCCTAAAAATAATCCTATCAAATTTAAATAATAATCACTTAACTACAGGGCTTTTCTTTGACCTGTCTAAAGCTTTCGACTTAGTTTCACACGACCTCCTGCTACAAAAACTTGAAAAGCTTGGGATTAGAGGGCCCACTCTTCAATGGATATCTTCATACCTCAGTAACAGACAGCAATGTGTTACAATTATGAAAATAGATGAAAATAAGGATTTCATACCGTACTCGTCTGAATATAGACTCAATAGGTATGGCGTTCCACAAGGAAGTGTGCTTGGTCCTATTTTATTTATATTATATATAAATGACATTGTTAATATAACAAATCATAAATGCATATTATTCGCGGATGATATTTCAATAATTGTGACTTCTAATAAAAAAGATAATACTATTAATGACCATGAGACTGACATAAATAACACTATAGATAAATTAATTGAATGGCTTAACATAAACAATTTAAAAATAAATCTTGACAAATCTGTATATATACAATTCAATAAATGTAATAATAAAAAATATAATATTAATCTCAACATACCAAAAATAAAAGCAGTAACAAATACAAAATTTCTAGGAATAAATATAGATGAAAATTTTAACTGGAAATTGCAAGTAAACGATGTATCTACGAGATTAAATAAATTTGCATACGCCTTTAAACATTTAAAAAACGTTACCAACATAAAAACGGCTGTTCTGTCCTACCATGCATACGTCGAGTCAATACTGCGCAATGGACTTGTAATCTGGGGTAATAGCACGGATCAAAATAGAGCATTTCGCGCACAAAAACAATGTATTCGAGCAATATGTGGGCTTAAACCAACTGAATCATGTCAACTGGTGTTTAAAAAACTTGACTTATTACCCCTACCATGTCTTTATATTTATGAAATATGCATGTTTGTATGGAAGCATAAATATTTATTTAACACGGCGGATAATGTAAACCCTCGGATGCGGCGAAACCCATACAAACTCATATTAAGTGACAATCCTAGAATAAGTAAATATAATAAAAGCTGTTTATCTATGTGTGTACGTTTATATAACAAGTTACCAAATAATATTAAAATGTTAAATACTAGATTATTTAAATCAAAATTACTGGAATACCTAGTTAAGAATAATTTTTATAGCATTATGGACTATATTAATCATAAGTCTTAATGCACGATAAAAATCTTTTGCATGCTATGTTCTCTCTAGCAAAACATGTTGTTCGAATGTATATTTGTAAAATCTTTTTCATACCATGTTTTAAGCAAATAAATATATTATTATTATTATTAAATACTTACGCATGAAATCTTATATAACCTCCTGGACACCAACTACTGCCGCAACGACGCACTACACAAGTTTGCACCATTTCTTGAATTATAACAATAATTAATTTTAAATATCTCAAACAATGCTGTGAACTGCTAAGTAAACATCCGCCATATTTGTCGAATTTATGTTGACATATAGGGCTAATGTTGCCACATTACCGGACCCTTAGGAAATGGGATTGTAATTTACTGATTCGTTAACCCAAAATGCGTACGAGACCTTCAATTTTGGAATTTTTAGTGTAACTAATCGTAGTTCAACTATTTATATATTGGTACATTATTTTATAGAGCTTAACTTCTGATTTGGTTAGTGTGGAAACTATTTCTAAGAATTTACCAGGAGATTTAAATAAAAACATAGCAATACTGTATTCCACACTAAAAAGAGAAGTCAGACCACAGAGAGTGAGATAAAGATACGTAGGTATTTGATAGACGTGGGCGTTATTTCACGTCACTAGATACAGTAATTGGCTACGCGGCATGTAATCGAATCACTAGTTTCGTGTCATGTTACAAGTAGTGATTTTTGTAAATGCGTGATTATGATTACTGTTAACCATGCTTATTGCGAGAGTCGACTGTCGGTCGGTCGAGCGCAAAGCGCACATGTGGCATACAACAATAAACAAAACATCGTAAGTAACAGTGTTATTGTACGTTTAATTTTCATACGTAAGACTCTGTAAATAATTTCAATGGTTTGCGATTCCGGGAAGGGAGTCACATTGAATTTAACTAAAATAATTTTTAAAACATTTTTGACGGAGTCATAAATGTTTTAAAAATTATTTTGTCAGTTTATTCATAAAATTAAAATAAAACTAAAAAATGTGTATAAAAAACTTAAAAATTTAAATGTTTATAATATT